ATGTATGAAAGCATTTCTCTTCCCTTCAGGCTGCAGGAAGTGCCAGAGCCTGGTGTTGCTCTCAGACGGCTACAGAGAAAACAACTGTGTGAGGTGAAACCGGATGTTCATCTGCGCAACCCAATGGTAGAACTGAGAGAGGAGGTAGAAAGGCTAAGAAATATTAGGGAGTCTGAGGAGGACATCGACTGGTGGAGCCACTCTATCATCCCTTAGACAAATACACTTGCTGTACATATCACAAGAAGCAATGGATCCCCTACCCGCTCACCGCCAGGAGAAAGGAAGGGACCTTAGCAATGAAGGGAAATGGAAAAAGGTTTCTGCTTAGGGTGGCTGGCAAATCCCCTCCCAACCCACCTCACCTTCCCAGGTGCCCTTATACAATAGGTATGAGGCCCTGAAATTTAAAGACCAGGGAAATAAGAATAAGAATGTGGATGAAGGTCCATCCAGGTTGGAGGGACCGCCTAGGGCAGGGCAGCCTACCCCCTGAATCAAAACCTCCTCAGTTAAAAAAGAAAGAAGGATAGTTGTCATTGGTGACTCCCTTCTGAGAGGAACAAACGGACCGATATGCTGACTAGACCCAACCCATAAGGAAGTCTGCTGCTATCCTGGAGCCTGGATTAAGGACATTACCAGGAAACTTCCTAGCCTGGTACAGCCCTCAGACTACTACCCATTACTGGTCTTTCACATAGGGGACGATGAAGCTGCAACACATAGTCCGAGCACAATCAAAAGGGACTTTAGTGCCTTGGGACAGTTAGCTAGGGATTCTGGAGCACAGGTTGTTTTCTCTTTTATCCTTCCAGTTTCAGGCAGCAACATTGGAAAAAACAGACAGGCACAGTCTATTAATACATGACTCCATGGATAGTGTCACTGCCAAAATTTTGATTTTTTTGATAATGGTCTGGCCTACATGGCACCAGGCATGCTGACATCAGATGGGATTCACCTTTCTCAAAGGGGAAGGAGAATCATTGCTCAGGAGATAGTGGGGTTCATTGACAGAGCTTTAAACTAGATGAGATGGGGGAGGGGGAAAATATCAGGCTTGCCCTTGTCAAACTGTGGGATGACAGGCCAAGGTTAGAGGTATGGAGTGCTTGTGAGGGCCAGTGATTCTGAGATGTGCTAACCACACTTGAGCACACCTGAAGTCTCATGGAGAAGAGCCAGGGGCCCCTGAGGTAACAGGGAAAGACGAGGGAAATATATCACAGGAAGGTGACATGGCCCACAGCCCAGCTGAGGTGCCTCTACACCAATGCAATCAGCATGGGCAACAAACAGGAGGGGTTTGAGCCACCATGCTGCTAGAAAGATATGACTTAGTTGCCATTACTGAAACTTGGTGGGATGAATCGCATGACTGGGGTGTGGCTATCAATGGCTACAGGTTGTTTAGAAGGGACAGGAGAGGAAAGAGAGTATGAGGAGTTGCCCTCTACATCAAGAATTGGATAGAGTGTGAAGAGCTGTTGTGCCAGTTTAAAAAAAAAAAAAAACAGCTGGAAAATTAACCCCCAGTCAAGCTCCTCCCTTTCCCCCCTCAACACCCTTCCAGTAGAGGGATTAAAAAACTAGATTTTTGAGATAAAAAACAATTTACTTGAAAAACAGTAATGAAATAAAAAATTGAACAGTAACAGTAACTATTAATAACAAAAGGTACACTTAGTGATTTACATACAAACAAGGTGTTTACTGACCGAGGCACTGCGTGACCCAAGACAAAGACAAAAAAATGTCCCTGGATCCTCCACATGGCCACCTTTTTCTACCAACCCCCAGATAACATCCCCTTTCTTCAGGGAAGTGAGGATCCCTCACTTCCACTCCCTAACAGTGATGTGAGTGGTATGGAATACAACACAGGTTCCCCGTGCATGACCCCCTCAGCCTCAGCCTGACCCCTTTCCTGCTCTCCCTCACTGCTACTGCAAGGAAATTAACTTTGTCCTAGCCAAAACTAGGAAAGCTGTCTCTGAAGAATAGCTATGAGCAGGTCAAAAGCTTATGGGTGGGAATCAGAGACTGAGACAACAAAGGGAACATAGTGGTTGGTGTCTACTACAGGCCACCTGATCAAGGGGAGCCTATTAATGAAACCCTCTTGCTCCAGCTATGGGAGGCATCAACAGAAAACTTCAACCATCCTGACATCTGCTGGAAAAGTAGCACAGCAAGCTGTAGGCAATCCAAGGGACTCCTGGAAAGCATGGATTTTTAAGCCAGGTAATAGACAACCCTACCACAGGGGAGGCAATACTGGAACTGATGGTCAAGAAACATGAGAAAGATAATTGTGGATGTTTAGATTGGAGCAGCTTGGGCTGCAGTGATCATGCTCAGAGGCTTGAGGGATATGGGTCAGGTGAAGAGTAAACTCAGGACCCTGAACTTTAGGAAAACAAACTTCCAGTCTTCAAGGAGCTAGTCAACAGGAACCCATGGGAAACTGCCCACAGGAACAAGGGAACAGAACAGAGCTGGTGGATTTTTAAGGACATCTTCCATAGAGTGCAAGAGCTAGTGATGAATAGGGACAAGAAATAGGCCAAGGAAGGCAAGACACCAGCATGGTTAAGTTGGGACCTGCTGGTCAAACTAAAGGGAAAAAAACATATGCACAGACAATGGAAGCAAGGACAGGTATCCTGGGAAGAGGAAAGGGATGCAGTCCAGGTATGTAGGGATGAGGTGAGGAAGGCCAGGGCACCACTGAAACTGAACTTGGAAAGGAATGCAAAGAACAACAAGAAGGGCTTCTACAGGTATGTCAGACAGAAAAGGAAGGTAAAGAAAGCATAGTCCCCCTGATATTGAAAGATGTCAAACTGGTAACTGTGGACAAGGAGAAGGCTGAGATACTCAACAACTTTTTTGCCTCAGTCTTCAATGGTAACCTCTCTTTCTACACCTCTTGAATGGGTGGACAGCAAGACGGACCCTGGCAGAGCAGAGTGCTTCCCAGTGTAAGTAAAGATCAGGTTCATGACCACCTGAGGAACCTAACTGTACATAAATCCATGGCACCTGATGAGATGCATCCCAGAGTCCTGAGGTAATTGGATGATGTAGTTGCCAAACCATTCTCCATGATATTTGAAAAGTCATGGCAGTCAAGTGAAGTCCCAGATGACAGGAAAAAAGGAAACATTGTACCCATCTTTAAAAACGGTAGAAAGGAGGACCCTGGGAACTATCAACCTGTCAACCTCACCTCTGGGCCTGAGATGATAATGGAACAGATCCTCCTAGAAGCTATGCTAAGGCACATGGAGGACAGGCAGGTGATTCAAGACAGCCAGTACAGGTTCATAAAGGGCAAATCCTGCCTGAGCAACCTAGTGACCTTCTATGACGGAATGACTACATCAGCGGACAAGGGAAGGGTTACAGATGTCATTTATCTGGACTTCTGTAAAGCCTTTCACATGGTCCCCCAACATCTTTCTCTCTAATTGGAGAGAGATGGATTTGATGGGTAGACTGTTTTCTGGATAAGGAATTGGTTGTACAGTCACATCCAGAGGGTATTGGTCCATAGATCAGAGTCCCAATGGACATAAGTGACAAGTGGTGTCCCTTCGGACTCTGTATTGGGACCAGTGTTATTTAATATTAATGACATAGATGAAGATATAGAGTGCTCCCTCAGCAAATATGCAGATGAGAGCAAGCTGAGTGGTGCAGTTGACACACCTGAAGGACGGGGCGCTCCAGAGGGACTGGGACAAGCTTGAGAAGTGGGCTCATGAGAATCTCATGAGATTTATCAAGACCAAGTACAAGGTGCTGCACCTGGGTTGAGGCAATCCCTGGTATCAATACAGGCTGTGGGATGAACAGACTGAAGCAGCCCTGCTGAGAAGGCCTTGGGGGTGATGGTGGATGAGAGACTGGACATGAGCCAAAAATGTTAACTTACAGCCCAGAAAGTCAGCTGTGTCCTGGACTGCATCAAAAGCAGTATTGCCTAAAGATTGGGACAAAAAATCACCAGGAGAATTTAGCATAGGTAAGATAGAGAGCAGGTCTTTAATTAAGGCGTTCTGGCGCAAGACGTACAAAGACGCACACCTGTGTCCAGTGGTTCTACAATTTTATAGTATTATCCATCCAATCTGAGAACTATCTGCCCCCCTGGCACACCTCCCCTGAATTTTCAGAGGTCCTAAGACTCCTTTCTTCCTCATCTTCCTCTTCTTCCCAGCACATACATTGGAGCTTCTCCAAGGTTCCGGGTTTGAAGGTTACTTTGACTATGATGGTATCTTGTTCAGGCCTGGGGTGCATATGTTCTTAAATAAGATGTATTTACTATAGTCCTGCCTTGAAAGGAGCCTAAACAAGACTAAAGAATATAAAAAAATTTATATGAAGTGGGGAATAGGGCTTGGTAAGTGTTAACTACTATTCTAAAGTGTGAGAGACTATACAGCTATACGAAAAATCTATATTTACTACACAGCTACTTTAAAATCTACAAAAAGCTAAAAATCCTAAAAATTCTGAGGCATCACAGCATGGGCAGCAGTTCAAGGGAGGTGATTCTGACCCTCTGCTCTGGTGAAACTCCACCTAGAGTACTGCATCCAACTCTGGGGTCCTCAGCACAAGAAGGACATTGACCTGTTGGAGACAGTCCAGAGGAGGGTTGTGAAAATGATTAGAGGAATGTGAAGCCGAATTTTTGCCCCAAAAAAGCACAGAGAGACTGCTTTAGAGATAAAGATTTGTTTCTTTAAAGCGGGAGGTATTTTAATGCAACGCCTTGGAGAGTTCCCAGGTTGCCCTGGACAAAGAACTCTGTCGTGTACAATTAGCACAGCTTTTTTATACAGTTCTGAGCATAAAGTTACATCACAAACATGCATATTCATTAAATTGCAACATCTACTTGTAATATTCATAAATAGGCGGAGTCTTCAATTTGGGGAGGTTTAGAGGTGGGAGTTCCTGTAGTCTTCATCATGGGCAGTGGTCGTTTGCTCTTCTTTATCGTTGTAAACTTTCGAACTTTCCTTAGATGTTTCCCTAATTTGGATAGTTGGCAAGTGTAGTAGGGTCAGGTTGACTTTTGTCTCGTCCTAAGATTTGTTGATGTTGTTATCTTTTCATTTTATGCTTTAAATGTTCTATCTTGTCAACATGTTCTGTTTCTCAGACAATTCATTACTTCTGTGGTTTCTTAATGCTAGGGTTTTGGAACTACTTCCACAATTTTGTGTTTGAGTTAACCTTTTGTTTCTCAAAGACTGCCTCAAAGACTGCCTCAATTGAGTGGCTTCAAATGGAGCACCTTTCCTATGAGGAAAGGCTGAAAGAGTTGGAGTTCTTCAGCCTGGAGAAAAGAAGGCTCCCTGGTGACCTTATTGCATCCTTTCAGTGCCTGAAGGGGGCCTCCAGGAAAGCTGGAGAGGGACGTTTTACAAGAGCAAGCAGTGATAGAACATGGGGTAATGTCTTTAAATTGAAAGATGGTAGATTTACATCAGAAATAAGGAAGAAATTCTTTACTGTGAGGGTGGTGAGGCACTGGAACAGGTTGCTTTGTTCAACCTGGTCTAGTGGCAGAGGGATTGGAACTAGATGATCTTTAAGGTTCCTTCTAATTCAAACCATTCTATGATTCTATGAAAAGCTGGACGTGGGATAATGGATGGGGTTAAGAATTAGAAGGAACTAAGAATTACAAGATAAAATGCAGCTGCTGCTACCTGGATGAAAGGCAATTGACATGCCCCACAAAGGTTCCCTATACAAAGATAGACACCTGCTACAGGGGATGGAATGGAGAGTGAAGATGCCACAGCCTCCCTCCACAGAAATCCCTGCAGAGAAAGGAACACTGTGGTACTTTGTAGTTCATAAGACCATATAGTACCTGATAACCAAGGGAGATAGATTAAGATGTTCTGATGCTGAGCCAACAACTATGTTGAAATCCCTCTCCTCAGGCACCAAGATACAACTACCCCATTAAGTATGGGAAGCAAAGCGAGACACTTCTACTTCAATCAAAGTAATTATGACTAAAGTCACTTAAGCTCCAATGAAACCTATAGTATAAAGGTAAGTTGGGAATAGAGGGAAATTTGAGGAAGATTCCACTGAAACTGCTGGGATCAGGCAATGGGCTGAACCTGTCTTCACCCCCTATAGGAATGCCTATTGGGTAAGAAACATATTCTATATGCACTAAATGCTGTTATTAGGATTAGAGCTTGTGCTTGCTTTGTAGTACAGTAGATTGCTTTAAACGTTTTTTGCAGTTAGACACTATCACCAATGACCACGAACCTTATTAACCTGTCACAATTTGCATTAATAAAGAGTGTTATTCCATAAGCTGTTATAGCAAGTCCTTTACAGGTGCTAGCAGTTGCTGGCAGCGGATAACACGTTGGGAAGACTTGCTGAGGGGTTTCCACACTGTTGGCTTAGCCGCCCTGGAAAGGGCAGTTGAATCACCCTCCGATCTTGTGAATCTGTTTGGTGAAGGGTCCCCTTATGGGATGCTGACAGACTGGTCAGACATAAGAGTTTTGCCTTCTCTGGTGTGCTCACAGACAAATAAATTACTTAGGGTCAAGAAAATCTCCCCCACACTAAGGGTCAGGTAATCCCTCCCCTTTCACATGACACTAGGTGAATTGAATGAGGGAAGTGTTTCAAAGAGATGACTCCTTTAGTGCTGTCCGTACTCCAGTTTCTCTGCAACAGTAAATTGATACACCGTATCTTGAATTAGTCCACAGTAGCATGCAGTTCTACTTGATGAGATGAACTGTCATGGTTTAAGCCCAACCAGTTACTAAGTACCATGCAACTGCTTGCTCACTACCCCACTGGTGGTGTTGCATGGACTGAGTTTTATCAGGTGGATTAAGACCTGAGCAGAAGCGAAGGCCGAAGGAGCAAGGTCGAAGGAGCAAGTCAAGACCTGTTTTGTAGGGAATGTGCTGAAACACAAGAAACAATAATCAAAGGATTAGTTCAAGCATGTAGAACAAACATATGTGATTTGTGATTTTAAGATAATATGTAGTTGGGTGGTGGGAGTTAGTTAAACAGTAATTGGAAGTTAGACAGCTGAGGAAAATTTATGTTAAGATAGTTAACGGTTGATTGTAATCTGAGTGAAATATGAGTTTATTTATAACTGAATGTGTTTGCTTTGATGTGGTAACCTAGCATATAGAATTGTTTGTCTGAGCATATAAAAGATGAACTCGAAATGAGGGTCTTTGGAATCCTGACTTGGGACGCTAGTCCTCAGGTTCCCGGGCCCTTAATAAAGCACCGCATAAACTGACACTCTGTTGGTTTGTGTCTCTGTTATGGGCAACAGTGGGACCAGGGAGAATAAGAAAAGTAAAAGTGAGAAAACTTGTGGGTTGAGATAAAGACAGTTTAATGGGTAAAGCAAGAACCGCACATGCAAGTAAAGTAAAACAACAGATTCATTCACTGCTTCCCATGGGAAGGCATGGTTCAGCCACCTCAAGGAAAGCAGGGATCCATCAAGCACTGCGGTTACTTGGTAAGACAAACATCATAACTCCAAACATCCCCTGTCCTTCTTCCTTTCCCCCCCTGTTTTATATACTGAGCATTATGTCATATGGCGTTGAATATCCCTTTGGTCAGTTGGGGTCAGCTGTCAGCTGTCCCAGCTCTATCCCTAACCCCAAGTACATGTGCACCCCCAGCCCCCTCATTGCCAGAGTGATATAAGAAACAGAGAAGGCCTTGACACTGTGCAAGCACTGCTCAGCAACAACAAAACCATCACTATATTAACACTTTTTTTCAGAATCATAAAATCATAGAATATTCTGGCTTGGAAGGGATCCACAAGGACCATGGAAGTTCAACTCCTGGCCCTGCACAGGAAAACCCCAAGAATCACACCATGTGCTTGAGAGCATTGTCCAAACACTTCTTGAACTCTGTCAGGCATGATGCTGTTACCACTTCTCTGGGGAGCCTATTCCAGTGCCCAACCACTCTCTGGGTAAAGAACCTTTTCCTAATATATAATCTAAGCCTCCCCTGGCACAGCTTCATGCCATTCCCTTTGGTCCTGTTACTGGTCACCAGAGAGAAGAGTTCAGTGCCTGCCCCTCCACTTCCCTTTGTAAGGAAGCTGTACGCTGCTATAAGGTCTCCCCTCAGTCTCCTCTCCTCTCCAGGTTGAACAAGCCAAGCAACCTTGGCCACTTGAGTATGGTTTCCCCTTCAGGCTCATCACCTGCTCTGACTGGCTAGTGATGCTGTGCCTGATGCACCCCAGGGCATGGTTGGGCCTCCTGGTTGCCAGGGCACTGCTGTCTCATATTCTACTTGCCATCAACCCAGACAAACAGATCCTTCTCTGTGGCACTGCTCTCCAGCCTCTCATTTCTCGGTCTATACTTACATCCAGGGTGACCCCATCACTGATACAGAATCTGATACTTGTCTTTGTTGAACTTCATATGGTTGGTGATTGCCCAGCCCCATAATTTGTTGAGGTGTCTCTGCAGTGCCTCTCTGCCTTCAAGGGAGTCAACAGCTCCTCCCAGTTTTATATGCCTTTGAACTTTCTGGATTTTTAGTTTTTTGTAGATTTTACAGTAATTGTGTTGTAAATGTAGATTTCAATGTAGCTGTAGACAGCTACATTAGTCTGTCACACTTTAGTAGTTAGCACTTACTAAACCCTATTTCCCCATTTCATATAGAATTTTCTCAATTCTTAAAGCTTGTTTAGACTTATTTTCAAGGTAGAATTGTAATAAACATATTCTGTTTAAGAACATTTGCACCCTAGGCCTTGAAACAGAGCAGGGCCCTGAAGGAGTTAACTCAGAATGCATACTTTGGGTAAAGAACTAAAGGAACCAGAATTCAAGGCTAGTGAAAGATAACATCTGGCCAAAGAATGCTAACACACTAACACAAAGAACATAAAGTAAGAACACAGGGAAGTAAAGAACACCAAAAATGCTAACACACATACCTAAATAGACATAAGGAAGGGTTCTTTATGGAATAAGTGGCAAAATAGGGGCATGAATCCAAAATCTTGCAAAATTCACCATCAGGAAGACAACCAACTAAGAAAGTTGAAAAGTTCAAAGAGAGGAAGACTTCTGGAATGAGACCCCCTGAGGATGAAGAAACAGGAACGACCCCCGAAACAGCACCCCAAAAGGACAACTCCATCTAGACTCCGCCCAGGCTCCACCTGCTATGAATATTATAATTAAATGTTGCAATAATATGAATATGCATGTAGAAATTATGTAATCTCTCACAAAAAATGTATAAATACCTGACTTTACACTGAAAACGTTGCTTAAAATGAATACCTTTTGCTACTTAAAGACTCACAACTGTCTCTGAGCAGTTTTCAATGTGCCTTTTTGGGCATCAACCTGAACAAAAAGATTAATTAATTAATGGCCAGTCTTCGCGAATGAAGAACCGGGGAAGGTCTTTACACCTTCCAGCCCGTGCATTGGATTTTTTAGGTGAGACACAGTGTGCGCAGAACTGAGCCCACCCTTTAATCCTGAGGTTCACCTGCCGGGGCCAAGCACGCTTGGACGGTGGCAGCGAGGTCCTCAGGACGTAGATGGATTGCCTTACAGGGCTAACGAGCTCCATCTGCCCGGGGAGGGACCCTGACCGGGAATCAAACCCCGGCCTCAGCAGTGACAGCACCGCGTCCTTAACCACTAGACCACCAGGGGCTCCCTGAACAAGATACCATCATAGTCAAAGCAACCTTCAAACCCGGAACCTTGGAGAGACTCCAAAGACAGTATGTGCAGGGCGAATGGTTCTGATATTGGATGGACAAAATACTAAAAAACTGTAGAACCATAGAGATGGGGTGCAGGCATCTTGTCTGTACTCCTGTGGCTAGGATGCCGTCATTAAAGACCTGCTCTTTATCTTATCTCTACTCTAAATTTGACTGATGAGTTTTTTGGCTCCCGATTTTAAGGCAACAGTATCATCTGCAAATTTGCTTAGTATGCCTATGTCGTGGGTTTCTGTGGTTGGGTTTTGTTAGCAGGGGGTACTACAGGGATGGCTTCTGTTAGAAGCTGCTAGAAGCTTCCCCTGTCCTATGAAGCCAATGATAGCCAGCTCCAGGATGGACTTCCTGGTGCTGGCCAAGGCTGAGCCAATTAGCAGATATAGTAATGTCTCTGTGATAACATATTTAAGAACAGAGGAGTGTTGCGCAGAAGAAATTCCAGCAGGAGACCTGTGGCCCGTGGAGACGGAAGCCCACGCTGGAGCAGGTTTTTCCTGGGTAGAACTCATGGCCCTGTGGGGGACCCATGTCAGTACAGCTCATTCATGAAGGACTGCACCCCATGGAGGAGTGACCCACAGGACAACAGATTGGGAAGAACTGATGCCCGAGGGGTAGACTCACATTGGAGAGATCCATCAAGGACTGTCTCCCATGTGAGGGACTCCACAGTAGCAGGGGAAGGAATCAGAGCTGAGGTCCCTCTGTAGCCCGTGGTGAAGACCATGGTGAAACAGGTTGTCCCCCTGCAGACCATGGAGGACTATTGGGGTGCAGAGACTCAACTGAAACCCATGGGAAACAACTGACTGTAACCCCCATTCCCCATCCCCCTGCACTGCTGGGGAGGGAAAGGAGGGAGAACATGGAAGGAAGGAGGAGTGGGGGGAAGGTGTTTTTAAGACTGCTTTATTTCTCACTCTTTGGCTCATAGCCTGTTAGTAATAAATTTAAGTACTATCCTCACTCTTAATTCTGTTTTGCGCGTGAAGGTAATCAGTAAGTGACCTCTCCCAGCTCTTATCTCTACTCATGAATCCTTAGCTGTGTCTTTCTCTCTCTCCTCTGTCTAATTGCAGAGGGAGAGTGAGAGAGTGACTTTAATGGGTCCCTGGAATCTGGTCAGGATCAACCCACTACAGCCTTCAAGTTCTGCATCCAAGTAATTTGCCAAGATGTTGAAGATCACTGGAACCCTGTGGAGCACCACTAGAAATGAGCCAGTCAGTATATGTTACCCCATTCACTATTACCCTCTGTGCCTGACCCATTGTCTCAGTTTAATGAGACTGAAGTGTTTTGCCAAGGAGGATGAGTTATGAGAAAGACCAAGCTCCTGCCTCTAAGCAACTGTAAATCCACAATTAAGAGACTCCAACTGAGGAAATATAGAGAAAGAAAAAAAAATAATAGTCCTTTATTAAAGGATATATGTGTATTGGCAGAATAACAAAAGAACACAAAAACTTCAGTACTTTCTGCCTTTTGACGCAATTCTAACCACGATCAGGACGGGGGCGCTGTTGGATCTCTGGAGGTGCAGAGCCTGCAGTTGCTGGGTGGTTGTCAGCAGGGGGCACTCTTTGGGTCTGGTGGTCACCCGCGTGGGGGCCCTGGTGCGCAGGAGAAGGCGAAAATGGTGTTTGCTTATTGCGGCTAATATGTGTAGTTCATGCCCTAACTGCAGGGTATAATCCTCATGCCGTGCCACTGATGAGAGATAGCAAAAAACAAATGATGACTGGAGCATCTGGTGATTTGAGATCAATGCTCCTATTGCTTGTCGTGACTGATAGAGGCACAATAGGGAGTTATGCACGTAACCTGAGGGAGATAGAGATTCTGGCTACTGGACCGACTGTGTGGGTAGCATGAGGCACTAAGTCGGCACGGCTGAGGAGGGTCCCCCCGCAGAGATCGCCCGTCTGAAATGTTCCACTGCTGGCAGAGGCTGGAGCTTGTGAGGAGGTGTGGTTCTCCCCGCCCTTCAGGAGGGGGGGCAGTGACGCCCATACATTCTTCTGCCTGTTGCGTGGCAGCCTGAATGAACTCTACCTGTGCTGGTTTCGATGTACGCAGGCTCAGAAACTGCTGTATTACACAATGAGGTTGTCTGTGGGAACAAGTTAAGCCAGCAGCAATTGCATTCAGTTAATTAGGATCAAAATTAACACTTTAAAAGAAGAATCACTTGTCTAGGACTAATGGTGTTCTTTACAGTTTGCTTAATCTACAATTGTCTTTGAACCTAGGCAGCAGCTCCCTTCCTTGCTCTTGCAGAAATTCTTGTTGAACTGTCAGGTTTTGTCCCCTCAGCCAGAAGATATGTTCTTTCGTTTCCAAACTTGAATCGTCTGTGCTCTTGAGAACTGAAAGGTTTGCAGTTCCAGGTAAGCTTTCTAGCATCTAACATCTAGATTTAAATGCAGATACAGAAAATCCCTGATAACATTGGAAATGCCTCAATTCTTGCCGCTGGACAGATGCAGAACCTCTGGGGGCTGGTATGATGTCATTAGGCAGCAAAGTCCTGCCCACATGGCTCACTATTGTTTCAGACAGCTTTATCTGACCTGGAAGTATGAAAATCAAAAGCCAGCTCAGGCTAATAGCCTTCAAGAAGCCTTTCTGTCACTAGTAGTCTAGCAGCTAGCTCACTTCCAGAAAATGCAGAAAAAGACATAGCAGTTAGCCGAGTCACACTTGAGTTTGACATAGAGTACAAATAGCATCTTCAGCAACAGATACCAGTTTAAAACACTTTATTCAGAATGACTCTGGAACCTCTCTCCACAATCTATTTATGGGTCAACATGCAATTGTTGCGAGCATTAGGAAAAAACTTCATGAGTAGCATGGTTTTACGGGAAATAAATCATGCTAAAACCTGATCCTTAACAGGTACAAAAAGTTCAACAGCTAAGGAAAGGAGAAGAAAGACTGGATGCAATATTAAGACCAATATGTGAACTGAAGACTGCTGTGAAAGATCATACAAAAAAAGGCAATGAGGAATAGTAATGCAGCATTAAAGGTGGGAGTACAGGGCAGACAAAAGTTACAAAGCATCCTGCTTCAATATTTTTCATCTATGTACTTTGTTCAAATACTGTAACAGTAATGGAAGGCTAAAAGCACCAGAGATCTGACTAAAGAAACAAGAAAAAAGGAACATAAAATTAGGAAAAAGTGAAAGCTGGTAATTAGGGAAGGAATAATCTTAAGTACAGTTACTCAACAGAACCACAACACTTGAAAAAGTTGCTCTACCAGCATACATAGACAATACTGTTATTCCAGTTCTATGAAAATTACTTTATTTTCCTGATCTGTAACCCCTTCCACATACAGTACTGCTGAGGTTATCCCCAGAGATGTGTGAGAAAACACTGCATCGACACAACAAAGCAGCAGACTCATCAGAGTAAAACAGAAGGAAGTTGTTTCCTTTGAATTAGAAAAGACAGAATTAGGAAGCCAAGCCAGGTAATGTGGGACGAAACATCATTAAGCCCTAAACGTATAATTCCAGTTAGGTGGGAACACTGTGCAGCTACAGCTTCTATCTTCCAAAAAGTCAAACCTCCCCCACAGCAAGTCAGAATGCAGTGTTCCTACACAGAATACAGCAGTTGCTCAAGTGACAGAAACCACTAGTGGGAAATCCTATTAAGTAATCCTGCACTGGAGAAAGCAATTCCTATTTTGTCTCCTTACAGCTGCCATAGAAAGCATGCACTTCACTTGATCATCTGGTGAGGGGTGGCAATTTCAAAGAGGGCCACCGAGGACTTAATAAATTGTGCTTAAAGTCTTATTTTCCTATCACCTCTTAAACTTATCCAACCAGAAATTCAACGACATTCAACTGTGCATAGTTTGGAGTTTTTGGTAGTGGGGAGCTGTCCTAATTCTGACATGACAGCAGAGACTGTGTAATGCAGGGTTTGCATAGATAGTCTGCCCCTGCCCTAGCCCAAAGAACATTAAGAAGTCATCACAGCTTAAGATTTCATTGCATTTGTGAAAAACATGAAATTAGGGATCCATTTTTCATGCTCAAATTTTGGTTACTATTGATAAAGGGTGATCAAAATATAAAGCAATAATACAAGATTGTAGCCTTATTTACTTACTAACTAATTTTTAGATAGAATTAGGATAGGGCCTTACTTGCTTATGCTAACTCACAGAGAGGATATAGTTAATTTTATAATGAAGACTTTAGCAGGAACAGAAAACCTTAGAGTTTAGATAAGGGGCTTTGAAGCTCATGAGAAAGAGACCTTGAAAGTTGATAAAGAGAAGCTCCTGGATTAGATACCAGTTTTGAGTTAATTGGACAGTGCCAACTCAGCAGTTCTTAGCAAAAGTAGAAAGTTCAAGCTGAGGAAGACTTCTTACTTCATCCAAAAGACCCTTGGAAAGAAAACTCCAAGAGGGTGTTCCAAGGTAGAGTTATAGGAGTGGTGTATGTTAATGATTTCCCCTCCCACTTTTCTGGAATTTGGTGACACAGTTAATGCATATGTAACACAACTAATGTATATGTAATATTACTAATGCATATGTAACGTTACACTGCATAAAAGAAGCTGAACAAAGACAATGGGTGTGCGTGATTGGAGGAATTATCCCACATGCACCCGACACTGTAAATAAACATGCCTCCTTCAATACTCTTGGCAAGTTTTGGGGTTTGTTTCTGCAAGTCATTTTGGGCAAATACATTTTGCATTTCAGACTTTTTTTCTAGCGTCTCTCTTCAGCTTCTCCTTTGGGTTGACTTGGTTGCTTGCCTGCTTGTTAGCTCAGTTTGGTTTTTTTTAATTGTTATAATTATTGTTTGGTTTAAGGGACACTTCCTCTTGCGATTTCTCTCAGGGCGGGAGAGACGACCCGCCATAAGGAGGCGCAGAACGCCCCCTCCCTCGCCGCTGGAGCTGCTCTCCCCCGTCACGTGCCGGGGCTGCACACAGGGGTGCATCATGGTGGCGGCAGTGGCGACCCTAGCACCAGCGGGTAGAAAATGGCGGATTTCGAGGAGTTGCAGGTGAGGAGGGAGAAGAGGTGGCGGGAAAGACGCGGGCCAAGATGTTTTTCGACTACTCTCACGGCGGGGGGGCCCCTTGGCCACTCCCTCTCACACCCTTTCCTCACGGGGAGGCCCCGCCGCACCCCTCAGCGTTTAGGGGGGGGACGGGGAGATGTGTATGAGCTGTCAGCACCTCTCGTTGAAGTGGCAACCTACTCGCCAGTCCCTGCTGCTGCCTGCGCCTTCCCCTGGGCGGAAGCAGAGCCGCTCTAAAATGCGGTAGGAGGGCGGCAGGAGTCGACGGCGTTTCCGACGGCGCTTCTGGCTCTCTATGAGTGCCTGTGTGTGTGGCAGTGGGGACTAAGCGAACCTGCTTTCCCTCTCTGTCGTGTGGGTTGTACTGTGTCGTCCCGTCCCCTCCCTCCCATTACAGCCCTTTCGTGCAGGAAGTTGGGCCCGGCGCCGGAGGATCACATGTCCCCTCGGGAGGACCTAGCGCTGTGGTGCCCTTACTGCAAGCTGAAGGAAGAATGATGAATAATTACCGGCGGTTTTTTTTTTTTGTTTGTGGTGTTTTGTTTGGTTGGGTTTTTTTGTTTGATTTGGGGTTTTTTAAAATGCTAATAATTATTGAATCTTTGAAAACTCGTTAACCACTTTCTAACTGGCAATACTGCCTGTGAAGTATGAAATCCAGTATTGCTTTTCAGACTTGTTTTATCTTCAGTTGAATGTCTTATACTGTACTTGTGGACTTTTCTGTAACTGATTTCTGGGGGCAGGAGGTGGGGTGGCTTTTCATATTTTAAGGTGTGCACAAAACTGACTACATCATTTCTATTCTTCCTTATGTTTCTTGAACAATCAATGAGTGTCTTTGTTTGGAAGGAGAACTTTGTCCTACAGCATCCCCACCTGGAGAAGTGATGCTGTGCATACTGACACACAATACACCACACCCCCCGACCTAGGCTGTCCTACAGAAGAAGTAAAAGTCACTTAAATAGGAACCACTGTGAGTTAGACTTTACTGTTGAGAAAGGTTTGATGGTTGAACTGACTGTACTCTGATCAACAGTGGGAAATATGCTGCAATTGCCAGAGAATTTCCTACACTAAGGCTTCTTCCAGCACTAACACTGCTTGGGTTGAAGTGGCTATAGTGTAGCTGAGGAGCTTATTTATAAAAGTCTCATGGAAAGAACCGAGTTTATTTGAGGACAACAGTGTTCTATCTTAGAAAAAAATTACCCAACCCTTCTTGTTATAAATTGGTATAAGAATTTAGACAACTCACTTCCAATTCAACATTGATATATTTATTAAGCAAGCGATAATAAAGCAAAACAGTGCTGGATGGTCTGGGGAGCAAGTGCCCTGCCCGAGACACACATAAAATGTAGTAAATGTCCCTTTTTATACATTTTCAAGTCGTGGGTTTTGAATGCGACTGTGTTGTGGCTGTGAGTTCGTGGCTTGTTGTTAGGTGGTCATCTGGAATTCGTCAGGGATGAAAGCTGTACTTCTTATCAGTTGTAAATTCCACCGATACTGATACTTGGTTGTTTAGTAAGATGTCTGTAATTAATTTTACTGACACTTACTTGATTAACAGGATGTCTATGAAACTTATTTTGTTGAATTATAACAAAAGTTTCTTATTCCCTCATATACATAAGATTTATGAACAAAGTTAACCCTTGTATTACAATCCCCCCCTTTTTTTTTCTTTTTTTTAAATAATGGTAATAATTTTATTAAAAACACATGGTGTAAATGTTAGTTTTAAAATTAATAAAATAAGAGGTTTTGTAATAGTTGACAACAGAGTAGTTAACCAAGGTGAATAGTTAAACACAAATTATTTTTTAAAGGTCTGATGATTATTAGTTATTTTTGTGTTTTTGTTATTGGTATATTGAGTACACAACAATACAGGAATGCCCACTTCTAAATTATTGGTGGAGACCTTGAGGACACATAATTAAGGCTTAATTTTCTGGTTTGGTTTTGTCCCTTTTCTTTTGTTTGTTTTTTGTTTTTTAAGGAGTGTTAGCTTTTAGTTCAGGTTTATTGAGAGGCTTGTCATATACTTACGCACCCACTTTAGTACGCCTCTGCCTTCCTTGCCTACTTAGTTGCATGGAGCAGCAAGTTATTTTGTAATCTTCTCAGCAGCAGTCGTATTCTTCAGGGGTTATATGGCCTTTAAGTTTAAGATGTTGTGAAGGAAAAGAACACACTCCCAAAGTATTATAGACAAAGTACTTCAATCATTATTGTTTGTTCTTTTTACTTTAAAGGGTAGAATAAAAATTCTTTCCTTAGGTGGCATTTTATAAAGTACTTCCACCAATAATTTTATAGGTGTATTGATTTAAGGGTTTGTTTTGCCTTTTTCCACACAAACTTTATAGTACAGTGTTTTATTGTTTTGTTTTGGTTTTTTTCCAGTTCTTTTTAAACATTTCCTATGTCCTTGGGACTAATAGTTCCCACTCACAAAGTGTTGTGTAAATGTTTGGTTGCTTTTCTATACCTTTTAGCTCAGGTATAAATTCTTGGGGTATTGTATTTTTCTTTTACAGTTTGGGCAATGGGGTTGTATGTAGTAAGATGAATAATATTACTTTTCATTACATTTAGTACATTGACAAACTGTTCATCCTTCATGAGTTAAATGGGGATGTTTTAAACAGGATATGTCTCTGGGTATTCTATGAAGTACACGAATATCAGTTTTTACTTTATAACAGTGGGGCAGATGAATATGGGTTCCTATTATTTTAAAGATTGCCCCTGATTCAAGAGGAATTCTGTTTGGATGCCAAGGTACATAATGGGTTATTTGTAAAGTATATGGAGGAGGTATTTGGAATCACTTGTATAGCAGGGGGGATGCTTCCCTAGAAATTTGGAATGAATCGTTATTTATTCACCAGTCTTTTCCTTCTCAAGAATAATTTCAGACTGTCCGTAGTTCTTTCTGTAGTCCAATGGTCAATTGGGAGAGGTTCTTTCATTCG